CTTCTTTGCAAAGTCTGCATTTGGCATCATCAGATGATTTTTTGATTTTGACCTTAATGGCATTTGTGCGGATAGCTTGTTATTATTATTATTGTACCTGTACTTTGTGCCTTTGGTCCTCGCACTTATGACCATTGCAGCATTCCCATGGTCACATGATCAGAATCCAAGCACTTGGCACTTGCTCTTTGGCTATGGCTTGATTTGACATTCTTCTCATTTGGAAGCACATCTGCTTCCACGGGGGTGTGCAGGGGTGCCCATGTGCGTTGTGCATGCAGGGGGTGTGCAGGCACAGGGACTGTACACAGATTGCATTTTGGGGACTTGGGCGCACGCTTTGGGCCCTCGGTCTGGAAAAGGTTAACCATCACTGGATTAGAGTAACTAATAGACAGTCACTTCCCTGTATATACAGTATTTCCCCACCAAACATCTCTAACTTTTAGAATTTTTGCTCATTGACTAAGACAAATGAAAAACAGTTTAATTAAAGAATGTGGAAAGACAGACCTTGTCACCTTCTTCAATTTCACAGATCTTCTCAGCTGTCGAGGGGTTAAACGTAGGGAATTTTTTCCCACTTTTCGATTCGTGCCATTCATTGTTAATAAATATCTAAAGAGAGAGAAAACAAATGGATCAGAAGAAGCATTGATAAGACTACTGTATCCCTGGTTTGAGTTGTCTGCTTTGTTGCCTGAATCTATATATATATAAAAGAGAATTACTGCTCTTGCATCATCACGAAATCTCCAGAACTGTGAAACCTACAAACTTGAAATTTGGCACGTATATTTCTCTTGGCTTCTAGGTGCTCACTAAGCAAGGATTTTTCTAAATGACCATTGGATCATTAGCATTTCTTATAGTATTATTAAAACGTTTTGATGCTAAAGAGTTAGACGTTCTACTCCCCCTCCCCACCTGAAAAGAACTCTGTTCCAACTGCCACTTGGGCATGGGCGTTGCCAGCGTATGACTCATCCGGCCTGCAGGCTAGGAGTTTAGACATTCTACTCCCCCTCCCCACCTGAAAAGAACTCTGTTCCAACTGCCACTTGGGCATGGGCGTTGCCAGCATATGACTCATCCGGCCTGCAGGCTAGGAGTTTAGACATTCTATTCCCCCTCCCCACCTGACAAATGCTCTGATGCTAAGAAGTTAGACTGGGGGACAGAACGTTATAAGATAGGAGAGGTCTCTGTGGGGCAAGCCTGAGGGAGAGAAGGGGAGAGGAGATGCTGATCATAACTACTCATTTATTTTCAAGCTGTAAGTGTTAATTTATCAAGCCTAATCACATAGTTTGGTAGCAGAGCACTGCTATCCATCTAGTAGCGTTAATATTTATCATATTCAGGAGCAGTGTATTATATTCATCCCATCAAAATAAGACACAGGTTTGCTGTAACGGTGAGATTCAGGCACTTACTTCCCAATGGACACCCTAGAATACGGAGGAGTTCAGAAACAAGATGGGTTAAAATAGTGAAACTTCCAGCCATCAGCTGCATATTACAGTGGGAAAGAGTAATAATGGATGTGGCAAACACGCCAATATTTATTGATGCAGTTCCAACAGGAAAAGTAAATCACACTGAAGTCCAGGAGGCCAATTCCATATCCATGAAAGCAGGAGAATCAAATTCCAAGGGATTTACTCTGTTATTTCGCTGTGATGGATATCACTGCTCAGTTAATGTAATATGGATTTGCCCCCTTCCATTGCTACAGCAATTAAGACACTGGGCTTAAAAGCCAACAGCCCAGACTCGAGACCCAAGCACCACACAATGAGCGAGCTCCCATCACTTGCCTTAGCAGTTTGAAAGCATGCAAATGCGAGTAGAAAAATAGGTACCACTTTGGTGGGAAGGCAACAGTGCTCCATGACATCATGCTGGCCTCATGACAATGGAAATGTCTTCTGACAGTACTGGCACAATGGCCTTGAAACAGAGATGACCACTGCCTCCGATAAACGGCAAGCAGAGTAAAATCCACAGGGGTTCCTTTATCTTTTTTCTAACCCTTCCATTAGTTATAGCTCTTTACAATAAATGGGCAAATAGAAAAAAGAAACTAAAGAAGATAATGGGGACATTAAACAGAGCAAGGAAGGGGTCTAAAAAGGAAGAAAGAATACCATTTTTCCATCTACCTAAAAACCAAAGAACTACCGTATTTTTCGGAGTATAAGACACACTTTTCTCCCCTAAAAGAGGGTGAAAGTTTGGGTGCGTCTTATACACTGAATGTAGTCCCACGCACCTGCCAGCCCCCACCCTTTGGCCTCTGTCTCCCAGCCATTTGATTCCTTAAAGCAAACATCATGTTTCAATTTCAGCTTCAGCACAGCTTGATTAGCAAAAGCAGCTGATTGTTGGTTGGATCGGCTTCGTGACCATCAGTTGTTTCAAGCTGCAGGGATTGCCATTGCTTATTGTTGCCTCCACGTGCCCCATTTTTAGCCTCTGTGTGCCCCATTTTCCACCCATTCCAATCCCTGCCGCCCAGAATGGGAGGAAGCTTCCACAACTTCCAAAGGGAACTTCTGTTCCATTGATTGATTGTTCTCACTGTCACAAAGTTCCTCCTTATTTCTAGGTTCAATCTCTCCTTGTTCAGTTTCCATTCATTATTCCTTGTCTGGCCTTCAGGTGCCTTGGAAAATAGCTTGACCCACTCTCCTCTGTGGCAGTCTCTCAAATATTGGAACACTGCTATCATATCTCGCCTGGTCCTTCTCTTCACTAGATGAGGTGTTATTGCAGAATAAGAAGCAAAGGATGAAAACTAATCAAGGAGAGAATCAAACTAGAATTAAAGAGAAATTTCCTAATGTGGTTCCAGAAGTTATGGGTGCTCCAACACTGGAGGTTTTAAAGAAGAGATTGGACAGCCATTTGTCTGAAATGGTATAGAGCTTCCTGCTTGAAAAGGGGTTGGACTAGAAGACCTCCAAGGTCCCTTCCAACTCTGTTATTCTGATGGATCTCAATTCATTTAGACCACTGCGTAAGAATCATGGATTCGCTCTCTTTTCCTGTTCCTTTTGTATTAATTAGCATGCCAAAAAAGCTCTGTTTGGCTTTTCCAGCGTTTCTACTTCTCCAATATTATTTGGAATTAGATGCTAACTTTCATCAAGATTCTACTGGGATTATAATGATATGTCTGTTACATCTACATTTTGCAATCTTGGTTAAACTTAGGCAAGTTCGGTTTTGAAGTAAAATGGATAAGTAGGTAACGATAAGTAAAATTTGCTTTTGATTAAATTTGTGTCCAGCTTTTGCTTAATATTATCAATTATAATTAATATTAATATTTTATAACCCTTCCAAGAGGAAAACCAAGGGGTGACCAGGGCTGTGTTTATTTATTTGTTAAGATAAATAACAATGGAGATAATGGGCAGCCTTGCCTTGAACCCTTTTGAATTGAAAAAGTTTCAGTCACCTTACCATTCACAATCACTTTGGCTTTCTGCTTTGTGTAGATTGCCTTGAACGTATTTATAAATTTATCTCCAAAATCCATATGCCTTAATTGTGGTAACATGAATTGCCAGTTCACATTATCAAACGCCTTTTGGACGTTTAAAAACAACAGTGCCAATTGCTTTTCACTATGAGTTTCATAATATTCCAATGTATCTAATATTGTTCTCATATTATTTCTTATCTGCCTTTTGGGTAGAAAGCCATTTTGATCAGGGTGTATGAACTCCTTCAAAAAACCTTCGTGTCTTTCTACTCCTATTGAAGTGAATATTTTATAGTCAGCATTTAGGTCTGTAGTTTTTAATTTGTGTTAAGTCTGAGTCCTGAGTTAATTTATTTGTACCCTGCCTTTTTTTACAAATTATTATTTTTACAAATAACTGAAGGTGGCGAATCTATCCGAAACACCTTTTTCCTAATAGTTTCTCCACAACAACAACTCTGTGAGGTGGATTGGAAAAAAAATTCCCTAGGGAAAAACTTTTTCAGTCATGATGTCTAACTTCAGAAGCCGATCCGGGATCCACTCGATAATCTTTTGTTGCAGGTAAAAACAAGAGATGTTCCCAGGATTTGGGATGTTATTTTTCTTAGTTTGCAATTGAGCCTGCTAATTGGTTTTAACTTGTTTTTGTGGCCTAGAAGTAGATGTAATTACTATTATTATGGCATTTGATTTGTATGTTCTGTAGCTGAAATGGCTGATGTGTTTGGAAAGTTAAAGGGCCTCTAAATCATCATGGGGAGAGTAGGGAAGCGTTTGTTTTAAAGGGTGGTCTTATAATTTAAAGGAAACCTACATAAACATGTCGTGGTGGTCAGTGGCTAAAACGCTGAGCTTGTTGATCAGAAAGGTTGGCAGTTTGGTGGTTCAAGTCCCTAGTGCCACATAATAGAGTGGGCTCCTGTTACTTGTCCCAGCTTCTGCCAACCTAGCAGTTCGAAAGTATGTAAAAATGCAAGCAGAAAAAATAGGGAGAACCTTTGTTGGGAAGGTAACAGCTTTCCGGGCACCTTCAGCATTTAGTCATGCTGACCACATGACCATCTTCGGACAGCATTGGCTCTTTGGCTTTGAAATGGAGATGAGCACCACCCCCTAGAGTCAGGAACAACTAGCACATATGTGCGAGGGGAACCTTTACCTTTAGACAAACATGCCTGGAAAATTACAGGTTGCAGAATATAGGTAGTCTCACTTGCAGCAATTTAGAATAGAATAGAATAGAATAGAATAGAATGAATGAGCTGGAAGGGACCTTGGAGGTCTTCTAGTCCAGCCCCCTTGCTCATGCAGGAGAACTATTTATATCCATTTGTTTAGCCGCTATAGGTGATCCTCGACTTACAACCACCACCGAGCCCAAAATTTCCTGTTGCTAAGTGAAGCAGTTAAGTGAATTTCGCCCCATTTTACGACCTTCCTTGCCATTGTCGTTAAGTGAATTGCTGCAGTGCTTAAGTTAGTAACACAGTTGTTAAGGCAATCTGCCTTTCCCATTGACTTTACACATTGGAAGGTCCCAAAAGGTGAGCCCACGATCTGAAGACACTGCAACCGTCATAAATATGAACCAGTTGCCAAGCATCACATGACCATGGGGATGCTGCCACAGTCATAAGTATGAAAAACGGTCATAAGTCACTTTTTTCAGTGATGTTGTGACTTCAAACAGTCACTAAATGTTGTAAGTCGAGGTTCCACCTCTATTCAAAGAAACAACGGCATTGAAAAAGATGCCTTGTGACCAGTCCTCGCACTTATAACCATTGCAGCATCCCCACAGCCATGAGATCAAAATCACATGACACCCACCCCACCCCCCCCCAGGATACTGCAACGGTGGTAGATATATGCCGGCTGACTTCTAAAGTGGTTGTAGCACTTCGTTGATCAGAACTGCAGTTCTCCGCACCGTTTGGCATTGTTCATTCTGCCATTTCTCCCACACAGCTGGTGCCCATCCTAACTTTCCTTTGTTTAGAAGCCCAACCTTAAATCTTTTTCAGATAACCCTGGTTGAGTTTGCACGATCCTTTCCGATTCATTGTATTGAGCAGATCAGAAGTTATGGAAGGGATGTGTCTTCTCTCGCTCTTTGGTTCTT